CCACTGCACTCCAGTCTGGGCAACAGAGTGAGATTCCAACTCAAAAAAAAAAAAAAGAAAGGGATTGGAAGTAATGGGACACTGTGGGGGGAGGGGGGCACATAACATCAATAAGGGTACCTGATCTCAAATCAGGTGAAGTGGGGACCACAGGGAGGCCTAAACTTTACCTGTACAATGACCACTTATCTACCTAATCCTGAACTGTACCCCACATCTTGAAAATAAAATTTTTTTAAAAATGTAAAACATTAATTGATAAGGTATAGAAAGATTTTTTATATATAACTAAAAGCAGCTTCACCCTAATCTTGTATCTTTTTTTCTTCTCTTCCTTTACAAAGGTTAAACTATACTATTGAAGCCCCTTCTTTTCAACAAGGAATACAGTCAAAAACTGCTAGCAGATGCCTAAAACCTTGAATAGGCCAGGCTCAGTGGCTCAGCCTATAATCCCAGCACTTTGGGAGGCCAAGATGAGTGGATTGCCTGATCCCACAGGTCCAAAACTAGCCCAGGCTCGTCTCCACAATAAATCAAAAATTAGCTGGGCATGGTAGCGTGCACCCGTAGTTCCGGCTACTTGAAAGGCTGAGGCGGAAGGATCACCGAAGCCCAGCAAGTCAACACTGGGGTGGCCATGAGTGAGCCATGGCCCTCCAGCCTGGGCAACAGAGTGAGACTCCAACTCAAAAAGAAAAAAAACTTTGAACAGTACAGAACCCTATATAGTAAAATATACATACATCATGCATACATATACTATACACATATATACTACACAGTGCTATATACTATACATAATACATACCTGTAATAAAGTTTAAATTATAAATTAGTAACATTAAGAGATTAACAATAACTAATAATGAAATAGAACAATCCTAACAATATACTGCAAATAAAAGTTATGTGAATGTGGCCTCTCTCTGTCTCTAAAATTATCTTATTTTGTACAGTTGCCATCCATTTTCGGACCACAGTTGACCATGGGTATCTGAAACTGCGGAAAGTAAAAACACGGCTAAGTGGAGGCTACCGTACTTTCAATGTTCATTTGACTACTTTCCTGTGAACTGTCCACCTCCATTTTGATGTACTATACTTGATGCATAATGCTGAAAACAGAGTTTCAAAAATTTTAAAAGCAAAACCAAGAAAGGAAAATCACTCAATTAGTACTTACACAAATATGCACAAACATGTACAAATTTTAACATTCCAAATCCTAAAATAATTATTACAATTTTGAGTATAATGAGAAAATGACTTTAGAAGTTCAATGTACCAACCGGGCTCGGTGGCTCAGCCTGTAATCCTGCGCTTTGGGAGACTGAGGTGAGTGGATTGCCTGAGCCTGAGGGTTCGAGAGCTGCCTGGGCAACTTGGCAAGACCTCATCTCTACAATAAATCAAAAATTAACCGGGCGTGGTAGCACGCGCCTGTAGTTCCAGCTACTCGGAAGGCTGAGGCGAAAGGATTGCCGGAGTCCAGCAGGTCAAGGCTGCGGTGGCCGGGAGCAGCCACTGCACTCGTGTGGGCGACTGAGTGAGACTCCAACTCAAAAAAAAAAAAAAAGTTCAATGTACTGAAGTAAGTTATTAAGGAGTTTTTCTTAGTCAAGGGTTTTGATCTTAACACCAAATTACCAACTATCATATGCTCTGTGTCACAGGGAAATCAAAGAATTTAAAAGTTGCAGCCCATGAAGAGCTCATGATAGGAAAGAAAGGGGTCTTCATTACGGGGAATGAAGACAAGAATCGTGATAATCTATAATTAAATATTAATAACCCACTAGTGACAATGGATAGACCAATGCATGAACTAAGTATAAAGAAAAAAAATCATTCAAGTCAAGAAGTGAACAAAAAGAGACAGTCAAAAAGTGAATGTTAATAACTCATTTTCTTCTAAGATATTTAACTTCCAGTTGGGTAGCTTAATGTGCTTGTTTAAAACACCTGGAAAGACAGACTCTAAAAATTATAATCCACAAAATATAATACCAATACACTCGACAAAATTCCAACGAAATTAAAGAGAACAGGACAGGTGCAGTGGCTCATGCCTATAATCCCAGCACTTTGGGAGGCCAAGGAGGGAGGATTTTTTGGCCCAGGAGTTTGAGACCAGCCTGTGCAACATAGCAAGACCTAGTCTCTACAAAAAAATTAAAATATTAGCCAGGCATGACGGTACATGCCTGTAGTCCTGCTACCTGGGAAGTTGAGACAGAAGAACTGCCTGAGCCAGGAAGGTCAAGGTTGCGGTACGCCATGATTTGTGTCACTGCATTCCAGACTGGGTGGCAGAGACGCCAACTCAAGAAAATAAATAAATAAATAAATAAATCAGAAAATGTAAATTATATATGGAAATCAGCAGAAAACCGTAGCCTCATTTTCTTCCAAAATGTTGTAAAATTGGCAGATCAAGGAAATACTCCGAACACACTATCTTAATGTAGCCAACTCCAAGAAATCTTCATGGGCAAGATACAGAAATACAGCTTAATGACAATAAGAACTGTCTGATCCCTCAACTGTGTTCATTAGTGTCAGCCTACGGGCAAGTCTCTAATGGCATACCAGAGAATTACTGAACCTGAGTCACTCAACATTTTTAACAAGTGGTCAAGAACATGCACTGGACACCTCTCCTATGCCTGCTGCACTAGATGGAGAAAACACATCTCTTAAGTATGTGCCCTCTCCTCCATTCCCGATGTCAACTGCTTAACATCAGTCTCTTATTTCAGGTCAGTATCACAACCACCTGACTCCTAAACTAGCCTCATTCACTTTAATTCTGTCTTTCTCAAAGCCATTCTCCATACTGCTGCCAAGGTGACATTTACAAAATGGTCTTTTTAAAAATCTTACTCTTTGACTTCCCTGCCTAAAATCCTTTAACAGCTTCCCCGATGCTTTTAAGATCAAGTCTAAACTCCATAGCACAGGTAAAAGAGTTGTTGGCACCATGTCGCATCTCCCCAGTTCCGTGTCAATTTCTACTACTTCTTCCCTTTGCACTTTTCACATATGGCATTCCACATACACAACACTGTCGCGCACTATAAACTTTCTGTCTTTCCTTGCTCAGAATGCCCACCTTCTCATTTTCTGTCTGGCAAACTCCCATTCAGCCTCCAAATCTTGCTCAGGTCTGTGAAGACTTCTGACTCTCCATGACAGAATCGCTTCCACCTCTGTATTACCTCCCTTTAATATCTATGAAAGAGTGTTATATTTACTTAACAATATGGAAGAATATCTTCTTCCGTGCTGAGGACAGGGACTATTCTACTTGACATCAGTCTATTGACCATCTTTCTGCCAGTTGGTCCCCATTTCCTTTGCTTCTTGTGCTATAGGCTCTGCCCAGACCACCTCGCTAATTTTTCAGTTGTAATTACCACCTAAACCTTCTTGTCCCTGATTTTTACTTTGAACCTAGACTGATGTCCAATTGCTTATTGTAAAAGTAAAGTCAAACAGTGTAAACTTGTAAAAAGTATAAATCCTCCTCTTGTCCTCTTACTCTAATAATAGACAACCATGGGGATTTGACGAGCTCTCGCGAGGCTTCGGCCTCTTCCTAAACCGGTGCTCAGCAAGGAGAAGGCCATGTTCAGCTCGAGCGCCAAGATCGTGAAGCCCAATGGCGAGAAGCCAGATGAGTTCGAGTCTGGCATCTCCCAGGCTCTCCTGGAGCTGGAGATGAATTCGGACCTTAAGGCGCAGCTCAGGGAGCTCAACATAACAGCGGCCAAGGAAATTGAAGTTGGTGGTGGTCGGAAAGCTATCATAATCTTTGTTCCCGTTCCTCAACTGAAGTCTTTCCAAAAAATCCAAGTCCGGCTAGTACGTGAATTGGAGAAAAAGTTCAGCGGGAAGCATGTTGTCTTTATTGCTCAGAGGAGAATTCTGCCTAAGCCAACTCGAAAAAGCCGCACAAAAAATAAGCAAAAGCGTCCCAGGAGCCGTACTCTGACAGCTGTGCATGACGCCATCCTTGAGGACTTGGTCTTCCCAAGTGAAATTGTGGGCAAAAGAATCCGCGTGAAGCTGGATGGCAGCCGGCTCATCAAGGTGCACTTGGACAGAGCACAGCAGAACAACGTGGAGCACAAGGTAGAAACTTTTTCTGGTGTCTACAAGAAGCTCACGGGCAAGGATGTTAATTTTGAATTCCCAGAGTTTCAGTTGTAAGCAAATATAACTAAATAAAGTATATTCACAGTAAAAAAAAAAAAAAAATAGACAACCATTAAGTTTTGGTACTGAATCTTTCTAAACATTTCCAAGGCATAGATAAGGATATACAAGTGTATCTATGAACACTTTTACATGATTGAAACTACTGAAATCATACTAAACATTCTATTCCCTAACATTCTTTAAAATGTTTCATACACTGAAGACTTTCCATTATCAACAGATATGTGTTTACCTTATTTATTGTAATAATTGTGTTAAGTATTCTTGTATATGTATTTATCAATCTTCTAGTGATAAATATTTAGGTGGTTTACCATTTTTAACTATCACCAACAATACTGTAATGTCATCTGAGGTACAATGTCTTTGTACATTTATGCAAATATATCCTTGCAGATGTATGGCTGGGGAAGAGCAGGAACTGAATTTGAGACAGGAATGTTGATAAAAGATGGAAGAATGTGCTTAAGAAGATGGGAGAGGTAGAATCTAAAGACTTGAACAACAGTAGGTAAGAATGATGTCGACATTTGAAGGAGGGGGTGAAAAGATGAGGCAGTTTAAGTTCACTGCCTCACAAAAGGCTTACCAAACCTATATATGACTCAAAGTTGAGAGGAAAAACTAATAAGTGCTAATATTTTACGATAATGAAATCTGGAATGGTCTTGATAATATAATATTGTAAGCCTAAACTAACATAAAAAAAGACTGAATGCCATGTTGCATTTAGAATTAAAAACAAAGACACATGCACATAATAGGGGAAAAAATAACCTAGCAGTATTACTACAAAAGAGGCCCGGATGTTTGATTTGATGAAACTCAAAATGCATCAAAGGAATGTCTTAACTTCCAAGGACAGAAAGAGAATGAACACATATATGTAAAATACCAGGCTTTATTAAAATGTTTTTAAAAATCCAAGTTCAGGGGTAGTAACAGTTCTTTGCTATTTACTGGTCAGGCCACATGGAGTGTATGTCCTGCTCTGGACATAACAGATATGAAGAATCTTCATGCACCAGGGAACATCCAGAGAGGAGAAACTTAAAGTCTAGAAACTCAAGTAGAGAATTATTACAGGTAAAAATGGGGATTTACAGCTTGGGGAAAAAAGGTAATGAGAACCCGGGAGCTGAGCAGTCTTCAAATATAACACAGCACCTTTTCTTTAAGCAGCACTTTACAGTTTCCCACCTGCTACTACATATATACTCTCTTTTGCATTTCACAGTAGCTTTTTAAGGTAAGTAGGGCAGGCATCATTATAGGCAAAAAATTGCAAAGTAAAACTCTACTAAGTGGAGTAGCCTCCTGGAGAGTTGTGTGGTTGTTTGGCTGCCTTGCATATATCCCCCCTTGTTCTGGTTACAGCACACTCCTTGTAAAAAGTCACTCTATGTGGTTGCAGTGGAGCTCTCACACTTACCCTATCCCATCAGATAGGTCAGGATATCAGACTATTTTGGATACTTTATCTTGGTCCAAAAGGAATCAACCAAAAGCTCTTTCTTAGAATTTTTCAAATTCAGGTAAAAGAGTATTTTATTCTTCCCTTTGGAGAAAACTGTAAGGATGTGAACATAAAGCTGCTGGCAATCATCACCCCCAACACTAAAATCCTCACGTAGAAGAGTGAGCTTAGAACACTAAACTGAGTATAAGGTGTAGTTATCTTCTTTTTTTCCAAGTGGTAGAAAGGGCAACGCCCTCAGGTCCCCTCCCACTGTGGGAGCTTTTCTGTCCTCTCAATAAATCCTGCTTTTTAAAAAACATTTCTTTTAAATAAAATGGTAGAGAAATTCAAATGAGAATATTGTTACTTGTTATGCCCCAGAAGAGTCCCTGAATATTTAGTTAGTTATATTATCCTAATGATGCAAAATGAAATATTTCCTTAAAAAAGAAAAACAGCAAAGTGAAGAGTATAGCTGTGGAATCAATCATATTCTTATCTTTGCAAATGAACAGATGTATAAGTATGAACTACTCACTTAAACTAGCCTGTTTCTTTATCTATACAATGAGAGTAATAACTCCTTCATACCTATTCCACTGATTTGTTTTATGTCTCAAAGAACATATGAAAAAGCTCTCTTAAACCTTCATACAAATATTAAATTACAATAGATTCTTTGGCAGAATCCTTACTCAAATTTCCAGTTACTTAGAAATTATCAACAGAAGCAGCTTCTACTAAATACAATTCAATTAGTGCCTCAATTAACGCCACATAAAGTAGTATTTCTCACTTTTTGTTGATATGAGTCTGTCATATAGTCTGATGAAGACAGGAATTTATTTTAGGGTAATTTACTTGTTTAGCATACTTAAGAACTGTTCCCAGAAATAACTTCATTTCTTAAAACTATAAAAACTGTAGCTCCAAGAAATAGTAGAAACCAATACATTTTGTTTGAAAACCTGACTCAAGGTCTAAATTAACTGAGCTTTCCTTGCACAAGTTATTTAGCTGTTTGAGACTCTTTCTATATCTGTAAAATGGAGACAGTGATTCATTTCCTAAGAGATTGCTTTAAGAACTTTAAATACTATACACAAGCTCTTGGGTCACAAGAGGGGTTCAGTAATAGTGGCTTTCTCAAAACACACTCACACAAAACATAATTCTGTTTTTGTGAGTTGGAGTCTACTCTGTTGCCCAAGAGGGGTTCAGTAATAGTGGCTTTCTCAAAACACACTCACACAAAACATAATTCTTTTCTTTTTGAGTTGGAGTCTACTCTGTCGCCCAGGCTAAAGTGCAGTGGCATGCTCACGGCCACAGCAGCCTCGACCTGCTGGGCTCAGGCGATCCTTCGCCTCAGTCTTCCAAACAGCTGAAACTACAGACGTGCACCACCACGCCCAGGTAACTTTTTTTTTTTTTTTTTTGTAGAGACGAGGTCTTGAACTCCTGGGCTCAGGCAGTGCTCTCACCTCCGCCTCCCCAAGTGCTGGAATTACAGGCGTGAGCCACCGCGCCCAGTCAAAACAAAACATGTTAGGACATCCGCAGGACAACAGTCTGTTTCAACGGATGCAAACTCGTTATCAGATTGATTTGGCTCAAAATGGCTAAAAGAATAAAGTTAACGGCAGTAAATTTAATCGGCGGAGCCCTGCCTGCAGGAGCCAGGAATCCTGAGGACGCATCAGGTTTCACGACACCCGGCCTCCAGCAACAACTTCATGCATCCAAATCAGAATACATGTGAATGAGGAAGCATCCGACTCATGTGCGGCAATGCTGTTACTACTGGGGACACTTTTGCCAGCAAATTGTGTTCTTGCCCTGAACTTCCCAGAGATCTACACAGTTTTACGACTGTATCACACACCTCACTCTTACGTCAGTCTCGCTAGCGACCCTGGTACCCCAGTAAAATCGGAAGCCGAGACACAACGCCACCCTCTCGCCACTGGTCCCCGGCCGCTCCCACGGGCCCGCTAACTCGAGACCCTTCCTTCCCTCGCCGGCGGCACAGAATACCAGCAAGCCGGCCACGCGCCATCACCTGTCTCCACGCTCCCCGACGGCTGCTCTTCCCTCCTGAAGTCTTCGGCCACAGTCCCTGGGCAACTGAAACGCCTGAGGATAGGACGCTGGATGCGACTTCTTCTCCGGGCACAGAGCGGCAAGCGGGTCAATAGCCCGACGCCGCGAGCCGCCATGGTCAGGGGAGCAGAAACAGGAGTATAGAAGGTCAGGGTACTTCCGCGCATGCGCCTGAGGCTATGTGATGGGAAGCCTGGAGGGTCAAACTAGGCGAAAGGCGTTCTTGTCTAGGAAACAGTGACGTGAAGGACGGAGAGACGTCGCTGAGCTTTGGGACGTATTTACTTCCGGTTTCCACCCCTCCCTACGTGAGTTGCCCACGGGACGAGCGCGCCACCTGTGCTTTCAAACAGCATCACGAATAGAGCCAGAGAGCAAGGCTATGAGGAAGGAGCACTGAATTGGGAGTCAGGTGTACAGACACGCACACAAAAGAGAATGTAGGCTCGGGACCCCAGTGTGGTCTAGTGAGGCCTGCTGGCTTGGCGCGGGTTATTCTCACCTTACGGAAGAGGACACGGAACGAGGCTGTGGAGTCAGCCTCCACGAGTGTTGTGTCTTCCTGTATGCAGCTGTCTTGTCCTCTGCAGAAGATTGGTTTTTGAACGCAAAAATGTACCCATCCTTCCAGGTTTGCAGGGCTGGCTGGATTTACATTTGTCTGTTTTGTCCCCTCCCTCTCCTGCACAATTTCTTCGTACGTTCCTAGGAAGTTTGACTAACTGGTCTGCGTTCCTCACTCCAACCCATGAAACAGGAACGTTTTGAACAATTTCTATGAATGCCATTAGGAAAAATGACCAAGACTTAAAAATCCAAAATCAATAAGGCACCTAATTTCTAAAATGCTTTGAATGATTCCAAAGAATCATGTATTATTTGTTATTGTTTACAATAATTATGTGTATTATTATTTACAGTGATGGAGTGATAGGTGAAGTATGTGTGCAGTGGCTTCTTGGATAACTTCGAGTATAATAAATAACTTTTTTTAAAAAACCAGACACTAATCCTAAGTATTTTACATGTATTGACTCTTTTAATCCTTACAACAACCCTGTGAGGCAGGAACTACTATTTTTCTCTATTTTTCTGTGGGGAAACTATGGCATGGAGAAGTGAAACGTTGCCAGAGTTACACAGTCAGGGGCAAAGATGAGAGTTAAACCTACGTTGTTTGGTACTGGGTTTCTTTTTCCTGGTTCTTCTTCTTTTAGCAGCTTTATTGAGACTTAATTCATTATCCAACAGTTCACTCCTTTAAGGTACCATTCAGTGGTCTTTAGTATATTCACAGAGTTGTGCAACAATCACCACCATCATTTGGACATTTTTATCACTCCTAGAAGAAACCCTGTGTCCTTCAGCTATCATCCCCTCCCAATCGCTCCCTTGACCCTTTTCCCCGCTTCCCCTTACTCTTTCCCTGCCCCCAGGTAACCATCTACCTACTTTCTGTCTCTAAAGATAAGCCTATTTTTGATATTTTATATAAATGAAATCATACAATATGTGGTCTTTCATGAGTGGCTTCTTTCACTGAGCATAATGTTTTCTAGGCTCATCCATGCTGTAACATGGATCAGCACTGAATGCCTTTGTTATGGTCAAGTAATAGTACATTATATTGATACATCACACATGATTATCCTTTCATTAATTAATGAACATTTGAGTAGTTTCTACCTCTCGACTATTATAAATAATGATACTACAAACATCTGTGTACAAGTTTCTGTGTGAACATGTTCCCACTTCTCTTGGGTAGACACCTAGGAATGGAAGTGCTGAATCATATATTAACTCAATCTTTGAGGAACTCCCAGGTTATTTTCAAAAGGGACTGCGCCATTTTCAAGATTATTTTGGCTACTGTAGTTTCTTGCATTTCCATATGAATTTTAGGATTAGTTTGCCAATGGTTTCAAAAAAAAAAAAGGGATTTTGACAAGGATTGTGCTGAATCTGTAGATCAATTTTGGGAGAATTGCATTTTAACACTATTACATAACATGAACATTGGGTGTTCTTTCATTTATTAATTTATGTCAACAATGTTTTGAAATTTTCAGTGTATAAGTCCTACATGTTTTATCAAATGTATTTCTAAGTATTTTTTTGTAGAGTCCTTAGTATTTTCTATATACAAGATCATCTGCAAATAAAGATAGTTTAGCTTCTTCCTTTCCAATCTGGAAGCTTTTGTTTGTTTTTTGGGAAGGTTTTTTTTTTGCTTGTTTTTTAAATTTGTCTGTTTGTTTTGTTTTATTTTGTTTGCCTAATTACCCTGGCTAGAACCTTCAGCATAATATTGAATGTAAGTAGTGAAAATGTACATCCTTGTCTTGTTCCTGACCCTCTAACCTTGGGGGTAAAGCTTTCAGCCTTTCACCATTATTCTGATGTCAGCTGTGGGTGTTTTATAGCTGCTCCTTACCAGGTTGAAGAAGTTCCCATCTTTGTTTAAGAATTTTACCATGAAAGTATGTGGGATTTTTTTCTGCATCTATTGAGATGATCATATGGTTTTGTCCTTGATTCAATTAATACGGTGTATTATAATACTTTGATTAATTTTCAGATGTCAAACCAACCTTGCATTCCTGGAATAAATCCCACTGGTCATGATGTATGACCTTTTTATATGTTGCTGCATTCAACTTACCTCTATTTTTGCTGTAACCTCTTCACTAATTTGCCTCTCCCATTCTTCTTGGAGTCTATTCTCAGCTCACTGGCTAGACTGCTGTATTCAGGACATATTCTTTTCCAAACCCTCCAAGGGCTTTTTTCCTGCTCCAGAGTAAAAGCTAAACTCTTAGAAAACACAGTGTGAACAAGCTTCTCACTTTTTCTTGAGCACATTTCCAGGGACTCTGTCATGTTACCATGCTTTTGGTACACTAATCTGCCTGATATTTCACAGACATCCAAGAAAATTTCTACCTCAGGACATTAGCACTTACTGTATTCTCTACCTGGACATATATTCTCTCCTACATGGTTTACTCCCTTGATCCTTGATGCCTCTGTTCAAATGTTGCCTTATTCATTTTCTGGTCACCCTGGTATTCCCCATTTTCTTAATATTCTCCATAGTATATATTGCCATCTGACATCCTATATATGTTTCCATGTTTATTTTGTTTACTCTCCTTCCCTTAAGTAGAATATAAGTGCAAATATGTTCATTTACCAATTTATTGGGTGTTACTGATTTATTTCTATGGACAATGTTCTAGATGCTAGGGATACAACACCACAAAAATAAAATAAAACAAAAACTCTGCTCTCATAGAGCTTATCCTATAGTACGGAGAGATGTTCAATAAACAAATACAAGTAAAATATATAGTATGCCAGTACTGGTAAGTGCTACAAAGAAATTGATGCAAGAAATGTAGAGGCATGGGGAAGGAAATAAAGAGATACATGTAAAGGATACAAAATAGCAGATATGGAGGATGAACAAGTCTAGAGAGCTACGTACAACAGGATGACTAAAGTTAATAAAATTATGCTGTATTAGGGACTTTTGTTAAATAAGTAGATATTAGGTGCTCTTGTCACAAAGTACCTGTGAGATTATCGTTAATTTGCTTCACTATAGTAATCATTTTACTATCACTATGTATTCCATAATGTCATATTGTTAACCTCAAATAGATGCAATAAATTTTATTTTTTATTTTTTATTTTTATTTTTTGAGTTGGAGTCTCACTCTGTCGCCCAGACTGGAGTGCAGTGGCCGCTCCCGGCCACTGCAGCCTCGACCTGCTGGGCTCCAGCGATCCTTCCGCCTCAGTCTTCCGAGTAGCCGGAATTACAGGTGCGCGCTACCACGCCCAGCTGATTTTTTGATTTATTGTAGAGATGAGGTCTCGCCAAGTTGTCCAGGCGGGTCTCGAACCCGTAGGCTCAGGCAATCCACTCACCTCAGCCTCCCAAAACGCAAGATTACAGGCTGAGCCACCGAGCCCCGCTTATTTATTTATTTTTAAAATAAATTTTATTTTTAAAAAGTAGCAGTCACTGATGTTCTTAATAAGAGCAATTTTAATGGAGAAATGGATATGAAGACTTGATTGGAACAGATTCAGGTACAAATAAGAGAAGAGAAATTAAGACCAACTATTAAAAATATTTTAGAGGTTTTTCTATAAGGTGAATAGATAAATGGGGCGTGAAGAAACAGCAGTTTGTATGTTGACCAAATTATCCAAGAGAGATGGGAAATAGGTGTTATGGAAGAAAGAAGAGAAAATTGCTGAGCTATGTCCTTGAATAGATCTTGCAAAAGGATGGAGACTAGTTCCTAAGTGAAGGTACTGGACTTAGGTGTAAGAATTAGAGAAGATGTATGTAGGTGATATGTTGTTAAATGGATGACTGACAGTCCATCATAATAGTAAAATACTTGCCCCAGGAAATCCCATCTGCTGGCCCAGCATCACGGTACTTTCCTTGATGTCTTTTATAATTAGAGTCCATTTTTGTATGATGTATAGTTGATGGGGTTATAGTCTCTAATATTAAGATTGAGTTCAAGTGTTGACTTGTTATGATTCCCTGAAGAATGCTGCAACAACCATCTGACTTAAAACCATTTTAGGCAAGGTGCAGTGGCTCACACCTGTAATCCCAGCATTTTGGTAGGCCAAGGCAGGAAGATCACTTGAGCCTAGGGGTTTGAGACTAGCCTCAGCAACATAGCAAAGCATTGTCTCTACCTAATAAGATAAAATAAAAAATTTTTAATGTGAAATACTAGGAAGCCAACTCAAATTCATATCAATTTAAATTGCACACTTAATGCCTTTTATCTAACATTTTTACTTCTAGGGATTTACCTTAGATAGACTTGCACAGGTGTGCAACATTGCATGTAAAGGAATGTTTACTGCAGCATTATTTGTAATAGTAGAAAAATGGAAACAACTTAAACAAAGGTAGCTGGCTAGGTAAACTAGCATGCAGAAATATGATGGAATCCTCTGCCCCTATTCCAGAGAGATGTATCTTATCTAGAGGGTACCTCTGGCATGGGAAGACATTAAATTTTTACTCCATATAAATTTGAATTATAAATATCTTTTATAACAAGCTCATATTAATATATTCAT